AAGAATCTTTCCAGTTGAGGTGAACATTGAACACAAAGCTATTAAGGCTTAAATAAGCATAGATGGATCAGTGAGGGAACTGGCCTGTTTAAAACGAGAGAGATTTGCCCTGGCCGGTTTGGCTCAGCGGTTAGAGTGTCGGCTTGCGGTCCGAAGAGACCCGGGTTCGGTTCCCGCTAAGGGCACGTACTTCGGTTGCAGTTTGTCCCCGGCCCTGGTTGGTCGTGCAGGTGGCAGCCACTCGATGTGTCCCTTTCACGTCGATGTTTCTCTCTCTCTCTCTCCCTCCCACTCTATCTGTACAAAAATTGGAAAAATGTCCTCGGGTGAGGATAAAAAAATAAAAAAATAAAAAATAAAACGAGAGAGATTTTGTTAGGAAATAAAGTTGAGGTCAAATTGTAGGGGGGTCTTAAAATAGAGCAGAGGTATTTTAATTTAAAGCAGAGGAAAATATAATCATTGATTTCTATTGAATTAGATGAGCACCAGGATGAAATAGATGTAAGAAAAATCAGTATTGCTGTAGAATGGAATAGGAAGAATGTAAGATAGGTCAAAGGGGGGGAGATGTTCCCACTCTGTTGAAGTAATCCAGATGTGAAATGATGTAACCATTTTTTGAGCATTTCTCATTCATTTATTTATTCATTAACTTAATATCTATTTAGTTTCTATCATGTGTCAGGCACTGTGCTAGATGTTGGGGATATATGTTAGCAAAAAAGGAAAAAAATGAAAGAATTATGTGACATAAAGGACTGAATAATGGGGAGTAAAATAAAATTTAAAATCCCACTAAATAAGATTTTAGAGTGGTAGACATATTTGAGGGAAGCAGGTTTGCACTAAAAACAGAATCAAAGCCCTGGCTGGTTTGGATCAGCGGTTAGAGCGTCAGCCTGCGGTCCAGAGAGACCCGGGTTCGGTTCCCGCTAAGGGCATGTACCTCGGTTGCAGTTTGTCCTCCGCCCTGGTTGGGTCATGTGGGTGGCAGCCACTTGATATGTACCTTTCACGTCAATGTTTCTTTCTCTCTCTTCCTCTCTCTCCCTCCCGCCCTATCTGAACAAAAAATGAAAAAAATGTCCTGGAGTGAGGATTAAAACAAAACAAAACAAAACAAAACAAAAAACAGAATCAAAGATATATGAACAGTAAAACAATGGATGGATCAGAGTAAATGGTGTCTACAAGATCAAAAAAGGCTGGGTATATTGCATTTGCCTACTATGGTTTGCACACACTTAGAGGGAAACCCACTAGCATTAGTATTATTGTCAAGAAAGGACAGTAAAGTTATCAACTACCCATAATTTAGAGACTTAGTAATTCAAGGAGGTGATGAAGGTATAGACCTAATTTGGCCAGGAAAGTCAGCAGCACTAATCCCAACACAGGGAATCAAATGAGGAAACAAAGGAGGGGTTTTTATTTTAATATTAAAATGTAAATTTAATCATGTACATTTGAAAATCCTGGCACACTTTAAGCTTATTTTCCCCCCACTGACATGATTGCCATTCATGTAAGTAAATTTCTATTAGCAGATTCACATTGCTTTACTTCCTTTTCTATGAACTGTTTTTCCTATAAGAACTGTTCTTAGAATGAAGTGGCATTCATTACCTTGGAGTTGCTTGTGAATTGATTTGGGATTATGGCCATTACAACAAACTACTGCTGTAACCTATTCATTGTGGCTGCCAAGCCAAGGTGTTTGTGAGTGTTGCAGGGAGGAGGACAGAGGAGGTCGGGTCTGTTCTCGTGGAATATAGTGGATGAGATAGATATTTATATAATAATTATACAAATAATATAGAATTATAACCACATTAAAGGCTATGAAGGAGAAATACGTGAATTTAGAATTGAAGAATGAGTAGGAGGTTATTAAATGAAGAAGAATAGAACATTAGATGCAGATTGATGGCAAAGCATGTAAATGTAAATATTTGGATAATTTTCAGATAATAGGATAGAACTGGAAGTATAGATTTGGGAGTTTTAAGCACAAAGTGAGAACTGAAGTTGCCATGGATGAATAATCCAAAGAAAAGAGGATGAAGGGTAGAACTAAAGAAAAAGCTTTGGTAAGAGCCCATATTTGGGTGGTGACAGTGAGAGGGAAAGAAATAGAAGCCAAAATCAGAGGGACAAGTCGGAGAGGTAGGAGAACTAGAACAGAGCAGTATCTTGGAAGTCAGGATTGCAGATAATTTTACTGGGGCCAAATATAGAAGAGAGTTAGACAAAAAAGAGGGGGGAATAAAACCAAGAAAAGAACGTTAGATTTGGAACAAAAATATTGTATTGATTATCTGAGAAAGTAGTTACATGTGATGGCGAAAGCAGCTGAGTTGACAAAGTCAATGAAGAAAGGAATTGTAGGTAGGAGTCATGCTTTCTGTTGGATACATTTAGAAGTAAAAAAAAAAGGAAAACAGTGCAATTAGAATGGGCAGCAGGTTTAAATTAAGAATTTCTTCAGATTCTGGTTTGCTTATATGGAGTAGGAGGGGAAGGTGCTAATAATAATAGGTAGGGAGAGATTTATATGGGAGTACTTTCCCAGAAAACGATTTGCTAGGATAAATGTTTACCTGAGTCAGTGTATAATTTTTCAAATGGAGCACTGTATTTCTTTGGGGGAATTTAGAGGGAAGAATAAAATTTATTTTTTTAAATTCTCCAGTAGATGGAACATCTTAATCTTTATCGCTTTTCCAAAAGGGATTTTGGAATGGGATAGGTGATAGTGGCATTGGTAGAACAAAGATGTATTTTTGTGAGAGTAATCAGGATATAAATAAATGTGAATGCAAATACATTTATTTGCAGGTCTCTATAAGCTGGTATTTCTAGGTTTTCATAATTTTCATAAGAAAATCTGCTGTTAGGTTTAAATTGATCAACTCTTTTGACCCATCAAATTTTCTTGACAGTCACAGCAGTGTAATGGCAGCAAGACTAAATTATAACTTTAGCCTTTATATTGTTCTTTCATGCTCTCCTTAGAAGTAGTTAATAAAGATATTATAAACAATATACAAATAAAGCTAAGTTTATTACATTAGCAAACTTACATTTGCTTTGATGGCTCACTATCATTAATGCTAACTAGTGAGTAACATATCACATTGTAATAAAATTGGTTATGCATATATGATCTGAGGTACTTGAGCAAGAAAACTTTTCTGAAGGTTTCTCTTTCATTTACATAATCTGTGAAATAACTTACGTTGTGGTGAATTGAGGCAATTATTTAGATCATTTAGTATTAAAAACGTTTTGACCAGAAATATACCAGTAATTAAGGCAATTCTGGGGACTGATTTGTTTAAGTTATTTTTTCACTTTGGAGTTGCAAAGTCTAAGAGCATAAATTATCTAAAGACAGCACTTTGGACAGAAAATGTCAATGTGCATTTTATTCTAAACAAATGACTCACTCTCAAAATGTTTGTTGAATGAAAATGTATTTGAAATCTTATGCTTGCTTTTCAAGAACTTTTGAAAAATGCTGAATGCAAAGTTGAATTCTGATGATTGATTCGAGTGTTTTTTACTGTCACGTTAAGGTTAATATAAATTGTACTGCTGTTCTCCAGAGAGCGGGCAGACAGCTCTGGGGATGGGGGTTGGTGGGGAGGTGGAGGGAGTGAGCAAAAAGGGAAAAGGGAGAGAGAGGGAACTCCTGGACGCGGACAAGTGTGGTGATTGCGGAGGTGGAGGGGTGGGAGGTGGGGGTGGAAGAGGGCATAGAGGGGATAAATGGTGATGGAAAAAAAAATTAAATAAAAAATCTTAGACCCCTATAAATATAAAGGGAAAAAAACACTCTTATAATGGGAATGAGTAGTCTTAAAAAAACACACAAAACTTTCTTCAAGAAAACAGGAGAGTCACTGACGAGCTCCCCGCTCCTCCACCCAGGGCTCGTCGACGATCCAGCACCCGCTCTGGGGTTTGAAAGGGCGAGGGCGCCGGCCGGGCCCAGGGGACGAGGTGACTGCCGCCGCGCTGGTCTCGCGGGACTTGGAGCTCGCTCTGAGCGCGATCTGCCGCCCCGCCGCCGACTCGCGGGCCTGGGCGGGGCCGGGTGGGCGAAGCGGGCCTCCGGCCGTGCGGTGTTGCGGTGTGTCTGCGTGTCCCGGGCGTTCGACTCTGAGTGGATTCTGGGGCCCGGGAAGGAAGGGGGCGGACGTTCGGGTCCCAGAGGGGCCCCTGCGGTGGAGAGGACGGGGCGCTGTGTGTGGTGGTTATTCCCCGGGCAGGCGGCCGTGAGGGGGGAGGGGGCTGGCGGGCCCTGTCTCCAGAGAACGGCCGCGGTCGCGTTCTAGGGGCTGCCAGGCGCTCGGCCGTCCTCTGCCCGCTTCGCCCAGAGCTGCGGGCCGCCGAGCGTCGAGCGTGGGGCGGGCTGCGGCGAGGGGAGCGGGGCGGGGCGGGCAGAGCCGTGGCCCTCGAGCGAACTTCCCGCCTCAGAAGCGCGGGAAGGGCCGCTCCGGCCGGCGGCTGGGAGAGACGCGGAGCCCGCCGCGGGCGTGGCCTGGAGCGCCTGGGCAGCCCCGCGAGGACCTCCGCCGTTCGGGTCCGGCGGTCCAGTCGTACGTGTAGAGGGCACTGTTCCGTAGGTCGGCGCAGGACTGTGGGGGGGTGTCAGCCAGCTCGCAGGACACGCAGTCGGAGACATTTATTTTATAGGGCATAGCCTTTTGAGAATTCTGGGTGTCTTTGGACTCCAGAACATTCCAAGACGAGCACACATGAACGAGGGTGACGGCTCCCCCAGACATTGGTCACGTCCAACAAGTACTGATTCACGTGCCCACGAGGCCGGTGCCCAGCCCTGAGCTGCGGGCTGCTCCCGCCCCCTCCTGGCCCCGCACCTGCGCCTCGGCCGGCCGGCCGGTGCGGGGTAACCCCCGCCGAGTCCGCGCTGTGCCGCGCGACCTCGGGACAGCCCTTTACGCTTTTCTTTTTTAAACACAGTGTCCAAGATGAATGACAGCCTGTTTGTCAGTTTGGACAGACTCTTGCTAGAATTTGGTAGGTATAAAATAAAAACAAAGAAATACATAACTATTTGTATTATGATTTGCTATTTTCACAATGAAGTCACGAAATGATTTTTTTAGTTTTTCAGTATGAGCAAGATGTAAGTACTAAAGAAGATATGATTCAACGCATTAACAGTAAGTCGTTTTGCATGATAAAAATGTTTTCCTTTTGAAATTTTTTATGGCATGTAAAGTAATATGCAGTCGCTTTGCTTTGGGTAACTGAGTGTTGGCGTTATAACTTTTTGCCAGTTCTGTTTAGTGCCTAATAATGAGCTATTTACCTTAACTACAGATTTTCAATAATAAAATTCTCTGTTCAGTATTTAATTTGTGTTGAAGAATTTTGCTTTAAGTTGAAATGACCCTTTAAGTGCAGTTGAAAATGGTATTATTTTTCTCAAATAACAGGTTATTTCAAACACTCGAGCGAGTCAGGGGCCAGGATTGATAGATGCCATATTTTTCAGGTATAATGATACGGAAAATAATATTATGAGTGAAATGGCAAAGCAGATTACATAAATATATATTTTAAGATTCTACAGAAAAACTATCAAAAGAAAATAGAACCATTAATTTCTTAATAGTTCTGAAAAGGTAGAATTTGGTTATCTTTTCTGCAACAAAAAAAGAATACAGAGTATTAAAATTTTTTTTTAATCTTTTAAGGAAACTATTTTTATCTTGTTCTAGTCACCAATAAAAAGAAGCAAATTGAAGGTGCATTTAATAATTAATTGACATGGAACTAATGAATAGAGATTTCACATTAGTCTAAAAAGAAACTCTTATGTTCGCATCATATATGAGTAAATATTTACATGAACTCATGGCATCATAAGATACCAGTGATCTCAGATAACATCTACTCCAGCCCTCTTAAATAGAGGGACGCCCATCTTTCTCTTCCGTCCCAAACACAGATCCTTAGCTTCTGGGTCTGGGAGCAGGCCTGGCTTTGGGTCTGTGCTTTTCAGCATAGGGCCTTCCTATCTCAAGCCTCATTTTCTCTCTGTTCTCTGGCTGTCTTGCTTTTAGGTAAGTTGCCATAACTTTATTTTCTCCTGTATTTGTTTATTTTATGATTTCTACCTTAATAAAATAAATATTTTATTTTTTCAGAAAGCTTTGAAGATATTAAACAAAATAAAGCAACTATTTGTAAGATACAGGAAACTATAAATACAACAGATGAGGAAATTGGTCATTATTGTAAACATAGTAAGGAAATCAAAGACAACTGTTGTAAGTGAGTATTTGAAAGAAAAGACCTTTCAGTAATTGTCACTAGATTCTTTTATTCAAGGTTTCTGAGTTTATAGAAACTACTGTTTTAAAATAGTATTTTATGTTAGCACAATGAATTAAGTCTTCAATTGACTTATAAGAAGGGATCATAGGAGGTTCAAAAGAAAAAAAGAATTGCTGTAAGATCTCTTTAATTCAGATCCAATTAGTCTAAATATAGAATTTTGAATAACCTAGGTTCAGTATATAAAATTCCTATTACATAAATAAATTTGAAATAATTGACATCTTTGAATTTTCAAGATCTTATTTTTGTCTAGTGGAATCTAGCTTAAAATTAGTAGCTTTTCAAAATAAAAGTATTCATTATGTTAAGAATTCTTTCAACAGGGCTTCAGGTTATGGATTCTAGTAGTTAAATCCACTATAAGACATAAACATTTTGAAATAAAGACTTGTTAATAGAACTTTATTGTACATTACAAATATTTAAAAATAAAATGTGTTTTTTGTATTTAATTTTATGTGGACCATTGTCTTTGTATTAGTACTATACTTTAGAATCATATTTGTTTTAAAGTTTTAAAATACTTTGTTATTCTGTTATTCAAAATTTTAACAAGCCTTCTTGGTTTTTACCCCGTTACTTTTTTAAAAATTATAGTCATTTTTTTTTTCCCTCACCCAAGGACATTTTTGCATTTATCTTCAGATAGAGCGGGAGGGAGAGAGGGAGGAAGAGAGAGAGAGAAACATCAATGTGAGTGAGAAACATCTATCAGCTGCTTCCTGCATGTGCCCCCACTGGGAACTGAATCCATAACCTGGACACGTACCCTGATGGGGAATTGAACCCGCCACCTTTTTGGTGTGGAGAATGATGCTCTAACCAACTGAACCACATTGGCCAGGGCACCCCATTACTTTTATATTGGTTTTAAAATGATATAAAAGTAACAAATACCTAATAATAAAAATTCAAAAACTATGCAAATGTATGAAATAAAAAGTTTTTCCCTGCCTACAGTCCCTACCCTGTTGTCTACCTTATAGTAATCACTCGATAACAGTTGTGAGTCTCCTTTCAGACCTTTTTAGTAAATATTCAGTATCATTAATACATATACTTACATACACATCTATCTACATATTCTTTTTACAAAAATGGGGTTATACCATACTTCAAATTTTTTTAATGATTTATTTGATTTTAGAGAGGAAGGGAGAGGGAGAGAGAGAAACATCGATGAGAACACATCAACACTGATCAGCTGCCTCCTACATACCCCCTACTGGAGATTGAGCCCGATATTTGGGCATGTGCCATGACTGGGAATTGAACTGGCAACCTGCTGGTGCATAGGTTGATGCTCAACTACTGAGCCACACCAGCTGGGCTGCTTTTTAAAATTTAACAGTATGTAATGTAAATGGTATTGTATATGTAATTATTATGTATAGATTTTTTTCTATTTTTTTTTTTATCCTCACCTGAGGACATTTTTTAATTTTTTGTTCAGATAGGGTGGGAGGGGGAGAAAGGAAGAGAGAGGGAGGGAGAAACATCCATGTGAAAGGGACACATCGAGTGGCCGCCTCCGGCACAGCCAACCAGGGCCGGGGACAGACTGCGGGGACAAACTACAACGGAGGTACGTGCCCCTAGTGGGAACCAAACCCAGGTCTCTCTGGACAGCAGGCTGACACTCTAACCGCTGAGCCAAACCGGCCAAGGCTAGATTTTATTTTTTAGCAGCTCCATAGTATTTTTTGGTATTGATATATCCTGAGTTATTTAACCATTCTTCTATTAGTAGACATTTAGGTTGTTTTCAGGTTTTTCCTATTATAAGCAATGTGTACAGATATCCTTCCATATTTATAGACCTATTGCTATAGCATGAACTTCTAGAAGTGAAATCGCTAGATCAAAGAGTATGTATGCACATTTAAACATTTGGTAGATAATGGCAAACTGTTCTCCAAAAAGATTATACCATTTTATACTCCCACCAACATGTGTGAAAGTTTCTATTTCCTCAAACCCTTGCCAACACAGGAATTAGCAGTGTTTAAATTTTTTGGCTCTCTGATCAACAAAAAACTATATATGTTGAGCTTTTAAAAAAAATTTAATTTAGATTTTATTGTAGTAGGTTTTACCAGTGATTTCCATTAACTAGTTGCAGTGGGTGCTGGAAAATAACATAGTTTCCCCTTAGAACCTGCTATATCCAAGATGTACTATACTTTATACAATTTAATGTTTGCTGGGTTCTTAAGACAGTTAGTAGGATCTGTTTAGCTTAACATCATGAGCACCTCTAGTCCATAATGTCAGCATGCTGGTTTACAAATTTAAATGTGAAATATGAACTCATGATAGTACTAGAAGAAAATATAGGTGACTGTATAATCTTTGAGAGAAGAAAACTTTTCTAAGTATGTCACCAAAAGTAGAAATCACATAGGAAATGGATAAATATGACTACATACAGATTAAAAAGAAAAATACCTCAAAATGATATAAAAGGCAAAAGAAAAACTATTAAAATAATACCAGTAGTTATTTTTCAGTGTTGAGACTGTATGGATGATTTTCTGTGCTTCTAAAGTGGGCATTTATACTTTTTGAATCTGAAAAAAAGATTAGAAAAGAGGAAATATTTGAACAATACTTAGAATGGAAGCTGCTATGATGTATGTTAATTTTGTATTTTTCACATAGATAACATTTTTGAGTCATGAAATAAACAAAACATATATAAGATGAATATTTATTTTATTCTTACCATCTGATTTTATAATTCATTTTGGCCTAGGTTCTTTCTTAGTTTAAGAGGGTGTAACAACTTGACTTTTTATGCTTTAAAGGAGTAAAAAGCCTCTCTTCAGCTCTTACCCTAGCTCCTTGAATGCTTACTCCAAAGGAATTTCTTAGCCAAGATCTTGGAAGTATGATGAGAAAGAAAGCCTAATGATGCAGTGTTGTACCGTATATTCTAGAAATGCCATAGCAATGCACAGTCCAGTCATGTTACAGTTGCTGCTTCCCTAGTCATAGTTCCAAAACAAGTTTTATGTAAAAATTAACAGATAATGATATTTGAGCATATCTATGATTGCATGAAGGGTGGTAATGGTGGTGATGGGAATATTTTTCTTGATGGAAGCTTGTTTTCTCCAGGAAGGGAAAGATTTGTTTATTTTTATATTTTATTATTTTATTAATCCTCACCCCAGGACATTTTTCTTTTCTTTTTTTTTTTTTAAGATAGCGTGGAAGGGAGGGAGGGAGGGGGGAGAGCGAGAGAGAGAGAGACATTGATGTGAAAGAGTCCTGCAGGACCCCCACTGAGGCTGGGGATTGAACCTGCAACTCAGGTACTGGGAATCAAACCCACAACCCTTTGTTCTTCAGGACTATGCTCCAACTGTTGAGCCAAACCAGCCAGTGCAAGTTTTGTTTATTTTAATATGTTTTTATTGATTGCATTTTTTTTCTTTATTGATTTTAGAGAGAAAGGGAGAGGGAGAGAGAGTTAGAAACATCGATGAGAGAGAACATGGATTGGCTTCCTCCTGCATGTCATCCACTGGGGATTTGGCCCACAACCTGGGCATGTGCCCTGACTGGGAATCGAATCTGACCTCTTGGTGCATGGGTGACTCAACCACTGTGCCATACCAGCCGGGCAAGTTTGTATTGATTTTTTTAGAGAGAGAGATAGAAACATCGATGTGAGAGGGAAACATCGATCAGTTGCCTCCTGCACACCCCCCACACTCCCACTGGGCATGTGCCCCGACCAGGAATCGATCTGGGACCTCTTGGTCCATGGGATGATGCTCAGTCCACTGAGCCACACCAGCAGGGCAAGATTTATTTATTTTTCAATGGTTACATTCATTTTCATGATTTCTTACAATTTATCATTCTGAGATGCTAATTATAATTTTTTTCCATAGCTGGAAGCCAACATGTGATGTTTTTCATAAACATGAAGACTATATGCAGGACCGATTTACTGTTTGTCAAGAAACAGTTGAAAAAGACAAGTACAGTACATATATTAATTTAAGCTATTCAGTTCTATAAATATTAATAAGATATGCTTTGTAAAAATATAAATTGAAAAATGTAGAAATTTCGTACATTGGGGTGGATTTTGTTTTATTTTTAATTTTTAAACTTTATTGTTTACACTATTACAGATGTCCCTGTTTTCCCCCCTTTGCCACCTCCACCCAGCCCTTGCCCCTCTTCCCTCTGGCCAAACAAAGCCAGTGTTTTGGACTCTTGGGGTGCCGTTGGAGGCCTACCTATTTGTCTTATAGCTCTATTGAACCCAGGATTTGTTTAGATATATCCTTAGATAGATAGTCAATAGCAGTTACTATAGCAGAGTGCTTCAATTAATAGTGCTTCAGTTACGACTGAATTGTTATAGGTAAACAGCTGGAGGAATAGATTTAGCTCATGAAAAATTTGGAGTACAGATTTCCTCTTCTACCCAAAAGTAAAACATTCTTATGAAACCTTTCATAAACTGAAATGGTGTAAAGAAGCAGTTACCATCAATTTATATGGAAACATTTTGAGCATTCCCAGACCTAAAAATAATCTATGAAATCATACCAAATAACACATAAAACCTTAAATAACATTAATATATAGTAAAAACAGGAATGCACAAAGTAAATTGAGATAAAGCACAGATGCTAACAGACACGGTTCAAGTTCATGGTGGCTTGATGAAATGCTGAGTGTAGTTCCCAGGGAAGGAGCTTGGCAGTGCCAATCTCACTGCTGGGGTTTTGTGTTGCCTCTGTAACGGCTCACTGTAAAACAAATGCTAAACGCTATTTTTGCTTTTTGCCTGTTTTGTAAAATCAAACATCCTCTTCAGATTTCTTTGGGTGAGTGAAAACAGGTACTAAAGTAGGTCTTTTGTAAAAGTGAAGTGGTGTTACGTGAACTTTCAAAAACCAGGGGATACCTGTATTGATTTTAAAAGGTATTTTATATCAGACCTCTGTTTTTCAGAGAGCTAATGAAGTGGGTTGTTAAATTCTGATGGAGAAACACCAATATTTGTGTGGGTTTATTTTATTATGTGTAAAATCACCTGGTCTTGGGGACTAAATGTAATTAGTGGATATAATGGAACAAGGCTAAGGACTTGGAACACATTATATATAAAGCATTGTAATTTAACTTAATTGAAAAAATTGAAATGGTTTTATTTTTAGCATAATTGAATGAGAGCAGTATCTATTTTTATATTTTTACTACTTTTTCTTCAGCCTTATTGAGATATAATTGACAATATAACATTGTTTAAGTTTGAGATGTACAACATGATGATTTAGTACATGTATATGTTGGGAAGTGATTACCACAGTAAGGTTGGGTAACATCTATAACCTCATATAACTACTATTTCTTTTTGGTAATGAGAACATTTAACATTTACTTTCTTAACAACTTTTAAGCATATGATACAGTATTGTTATATTCACCATGCTGTATATTAGAGCTCCAGAACGTATTCACCTTATAACTGGATAACTGGTCTATGTGTTTTGTTTTTTTTTATCTTCACCCGAGGACATTCTTCCACTTTTTGTTCAGAGTGGGAGGGAGGGAGGGAGAGAGAGAGAGAGAGAAACACCGACATGTACAGGTACACATCGAGTGGCCGCCACCTGCACGACCCATCCAGGGCCGGGGACAAACTGCAACCAAGATACACACCCCTAGTGGGAACCGAACCCAGGTGTCTTCGGACCGCAAGCCGATGCTCCAACTGCTGAGCCAAACTGGCCAGGGCTATGTGTCTGTTTTTATGCCAGTACCATACTGTTTTGATTACTCTATTTATTTATTTATTTTTAATCCTTACCTGAGGATAATTATCTTCAGATAGAGTGGGAGGGTGAGAGAGAGAAACAACGATGTTAGAGGGACACATCAACTGGTTGCCTCCCACACGATCTCAACCAGGGCCGGGGATGAACCACATCTGAGGTACATGCCCTTGGCCAGAATTGAACCCACGACTCTTTGGTCTGCAGGCCGATGCTCTACCACTGAGCCAAACTGGCCAGGGCAGTGTAGCATAGTTTTAAACTAGGAAGTGTGATGAATCAATCTTTGTTTTTCTTTCTTGAGATTGATTTGTCTGGGGTCTTGAGTGGTTCCATAAAAATTTTAGAGTTTTTCAGTTTCTGCGAAAAATGCCATTGGACTTTTGATAGGGATTGCATTGACTCTGTAGATGGCTTTGGGTATTACGGACATTTATAACAATATTAATTCTTTTGATTCATGAGTACAGAATATTTTTCCATTTATTTGTGTTGTCTTCAATTTCTTTCATCAGTGTCTTACAGTTTTCAGTGAAGAGATCTTTCACCTCTTTGTTAAATTTATTCCTAAATATTGAATTGGTTTTGATGCTATTGTAAATGGGATTGTTGTATTTCTTTTTTAGATAGTTCATTGTCAGTGTATAGAAATGCAACTGATATTTATTTATTTGTAATCCTCACCTGAGGATATTTTTCCATTGAGTTTTAGATTGAGTGGGAGGGAGGGGGAGAGAGGGAGAGAGAGGGAGAGAGACACCAATGTGAGAGAGACACATCGGTTGGTTGCCTCCCGCGTGACCCTGACCAGGGCCAGGGATAGAACCTGCATCCCAGTTATTCACCCTTGACCAGAAAATAAATTTGTGACCCTTCGGTTCTCAGGCTGATTCTCTAACCTCTGAGCCAAACTGGCCAGGGCAGAAATGCAACTGATTTTTATGTTGATTTTGTGTCCTGAAACTTCACTGAATTTGTTGATTAGTTCTAACAGTTTTTTGGTGGATCATGTCATTTACAAACAGATCATTTTACTTTTTTCTTTCCTATTTGGATGCCTTTTATTTCTTTTTCTTGCCTAATTGCTCTAGTTAAGACTTCCAGTACTGTGTTGAATAGGAGTGGTGAGAGTGGCACTTTTGTCTTGTTCCTGATTTTAGAGGAAAAGCTTTTAGCTTTGCACCATTGAGTATGATGTTAGTTATGGGCTTGTCATACATGGCCTTCGTTATGTTGAGGTATGTTTCTTTTATAGCCAATTGTTGAGAGTTTTGTTGTTGTTGTTTATCATCAAAGGGTGTTGAATTTTACCAAAATGCTTTTTCTGCATCTATTGAAAGAATCATATGTACTTTATTTTTTAATAATTTTGTACTTTATTCTGTTAATGTGCTGTACATCATGTTTATTGATTTGTATATGTTGAGCCATCTTTGCATCTCAAAAATAAATCCCTCTTAGTCTTGGTGTATGATTTAAAAAAATAAATTGTTCAATTTGGTTTGCTAGTATTTTTTTGAGTATTTATTTATATTTGTCAGGGATATTTGCCTATTATCTTTTCTTGTAGTATCCTATCTAACTTACAGTAACAGGGAATGCTGGCCTTGTAAAATGAATTGGAAAGTGTTCTCCAATTTTTTGGAAGAGTTTGAGAAAGATTGGTATTCTTTAAATGTTTGGTATAACTCATCAGTGAAACCAACTTGTCATAGGCTTTTCTTTGTTTTGGAGCTTTTTGATTACTTTTTCAGTCTCCTTAGAAGTAACTTATCTGTTCAGATTTTCTATTTTTTCATGATTACTGCAGTCTTGGTAAGTTTTATGTTTCTAGAAATTTACCTGTTTTTTCTAGGTTATCTAATTTGTTGTCTTATAATTGTTCATAGTAGCCTTTTTATGATCCTTTGTATTTCTGTGCTGTCAGTTGTAGTATTTCTTTTTTCATTTATAATTTTGTTTATTTCAGTCCTCTCTTTTTTCTTGGTTATTCTAGCTAAAGATTTGGAAATTTTGTTTATCTTTTCAAAAACCAATTCTTTGTTTTATTGACTTTTTTTTATCATCTTTCTTGACTCTATCTATCTCACTAATTTCTGGTCTAATCATTTTATTATCTTCCTTTTGCTAACTTTGGGCTTAGGTTGTTCTTTCTCTAATTCCTTGAGGTATAAAACAGGTTGTTTATTTGAGATCTTTCTTTTTTCTTAATGTAGGCGTTTGTTTCTATAAATTTATCTCTTAGAAGTTCTTTTGCTGCATTCTGTAAAATTTGATATATTGCATTTTCATTGGTCTCAAGGCACTTTTTGATTTTTTCTTTGATCCAAAATTGTTCAGGAGTGTGTTGTTAACTTTCCACAAATTTGTGAATTTTTTCACTTTTCTCCTGCTATTGAGTGCTAGTTTTTTGTTTTGTTTTTTAACTCCTCCCTGGAGGATATTTTTCCATTGATTTTTATTTATTTATTTATTTTTATTTTTATTTTTTTTAAAACTTATCTTTATTGTTGAATGTATTACAGATGTTCCTCATTTTCCCCCATTGACCCCCCTCCTCCCCACTCCTGCTCCCCCTCATGCCTTTCCCCACACTGTTGTCTGTGTCCATTGGTTATGCATATATACATGTAAGTTTTTTGGTTTATTTCTTCCCACCCCCCAACCCCCTTCTCTTTGAGGTTTGTCAGTCTAGCAACCAATTTGTTTTCTTAATCCCTTCACCTTTTTCACCCATTTCCCCAACCCCCTTCCCATCTGGCAACCAACAAAATGTTCTCTGTATCTGAGAATGTTTCTGTTCTGCCTGTTCATTTTGTTTGTAGATTCCATTGTCGATAGATATGTATTCATTGCCATTTTGTTCGTTCATATATTTTATCTTTTTCTTCAAGAAGACCCTTCAACATTTCATATAATAACGGTTTGGTGGTGATGAACTCCTTTAGCTTTTTCTTGTCTGGGAAACTCTTTATATGGCCATCGATTCTAAATGACAGCTTTGCAGGATAGAGTAATCTTGTAGGTTCTTGGTTTTCATCACTCTGAATATTTCTTGCCACTCCCTTCTGGCCTGCAAAGTTTCTTTTGAGAAATCAGCTGACAGCCTTATGGGAACTCCCTTGTAGGTAACTAACTGCTTTTCTCTGGGTGCTTTTAAGATTCTCTCTTTGTCTTGAACCTTTTGG